TTGTCTTCCCCCTCCCTGATGTTTTATGGCTTTGCAAGTTCAACTCAGCATCCTGGAATCCTGAGTTGGAAGTGACCCACAGGGATCATCGAGTCCAAGCCCTGGCCAGCTTGTTTCTCCTCTGAAAACTGGGAAGAGCTTTTCCCTGGCTGAAGGAAGAGCTTTGAGCTGCTGGGATCTCATCCATGTGGCTCCAGGCCCACGACCCCCTGACCCCACTGTCCAAGCACTGAGCCCGAGCCTGAAACCTGTTTGCAATAATTGAAGATACTCTGGAGTTATCAAAGCCAAAAGAAAAGAATTCCTTCTGTGTTACCACATCCTGTCTGTGCTGGGTCCAGTCATTCCGGGGCTGTCACACACGTCCCCTCTCCTCCACACCACTGCTGCCAGCCAGGGGCTCGGCAGGAAGCTGAAATGCATCGTTGCCAAAAAAAAAAAATGGAGCTTCCTGAGTGTTGTGCTGAGGAAAACCTGTCCCTGCTGCTCAATGTCAGCCTTGAGGAACAAGCTCTTCCTTTTTTGGGGATTTGCTACCTCTGGCTCACTGGTCCCAGTCCCCTGGGACCCCCCCATTCCATCCTGGGAGGGCTCCAAAGGCACCTGGACTCGGGATCTGCTGCAGATCAGTCACTCAGCAGCAATCCTTCCACTCTCCAGGGGTGTGGAGGCACCCACAGCTGGAATGCTGAGGGAGAGAGTGGGAAAACACTGCTGGAGGATGGAGAGGTTCGTGCTGCTGGATTCGAGCTGGTGTGTGGGATAATGGGGATATTGAGGTGTCCCACCATCACCTCGTGCTGCAAAGGAGGCTGTTGCCTTTAGGAAAAGTGTGGATCGGTCTGGACAAGCAGTGCTGGGAACATCTTCACCTCAGTGTGATGGATGCAGAGGGAGAGAGGAGCAGGGGAGCAGCAGGGGAGCAGCAAATGCTCCCTGTGCGGGACATTCTGGGCTGGGCAGCAGCTCCAGCTGCTCCTGTCAGCAGGAACTTGTGTCTCCCTGAGCAGACAGATCAGAAGGACTTTCTTGTGCTTCCATCTCATTTCCTTCCTTCCTGGTGGTGACAGCCCTTCATCTGTCAGTGCCTGGTTTGTGCTGCCCCTGCTCTGGGCTGGGTTTGGCCCCGGGCTCCGCCTGGGATGGGGAGCTGGATCCCCCTGTGCCAGGAATCACTGGTGGGATGAAGGAGAGCTCGTAGGGTCTCCCTCTGTGATCCACAGTGGCTGAAGCCCCCAGGCAGGAGGATTCCATCACTTGCTCATGAACAGATCTGCTCATCACTTTTTGAATCTGGAGATTCCAAATCCCCAGGACTTGATGCCCAGCCTGGAGCTCTCCCAGCTCTGGGTCCCACTCGGTTCAGGTGCTGAGTCTCTTCTTTCTTCAGTCAGGACTTGAGGAAGTAACTTGTGCAGTTGTACCCTGGCAGTACAGAGGTCTCCAGCTTGATCAGCTCTTCCATCACATCTGGAAACATCTGCACTCCAGAGCTGCTGGGCCTGGGCAGGGCTGCCTGGGGGGTGTCCCTGCCCTCACCCTGGGAGGGTTTCCTTCTGAGAGGTGTGTTGGGGACAGTTCTTTAACCTCCTTCTTTGAGGCTTGGACTGGGTGAGCTTCAGAGGTCATTCCCAACCCATCCTGTCCCGTGATTCCCTGTGCACACAGATCTGGGATGGTCTCCTTGGCTTGGAAGGGGAGTGGGAGGAGGTGGAGCCAGACCTGCCTCCCCTGCTCCTGCAGAGCCACCCCAAGGGTGCTCCACACCACAGTGGATTCACTCCCTGTGCTCATCCTGTTCCATCTCATCCCAGCCTTCTCTCGGAAGAGCCTGGATCTTCCTGCACTGCTGGGCTGCCCCTACCAGGGGAAGGTGGAATTTTCCTTTACTGTGGAATAACGAGCCATGGACAGGTGGCCTCCAGGGCCTGTGTGGTTTGGTTCCTGCTGGAACTGTGTGTTTAGAAAGCAGCATCTGTTCCCCTTTCCTGCTGTTTTTCCACTTGGAAGAGTCCAGGCAGAGGAAAAGCCGAGGGATTGGGTGACAGAGAGAGTCCCTGGGGTGCAGAGGGAACTCCTGGCTCTGGCTCAGGTGGGACACACACTCAGGGCCAGCAAGTGCTTCCAGCTCCCCGAGCTCCCCCAGGGCCCCCCCGTGGGATCTGTGGGATCTGTGGGACCTGTGCCCTCGGGATGCTCCTGCTTCCCTGCCCTGCTCCTGCCCATTGCTGGAGGAGATTCCCAGTGCTGAGTTTGTTCTCCAGCTGCTGATGGTGATTCCTGTCCTGGCCCTTCCTTCCCTCCTTGGCCAGGTCTGGAGCTGGTGCTGAGCTGGGAACAGGGGTCACTGTCCCCACGGAGCCAGTGGGTGCTGCTCATGGAATCCCTTGGGATTGGGTGCTTTGTCCTGGTGCTGATGCCAAGGTGGCTTTGGTTGGTCACGTCCTGCAGAACCCGTTTATTCTGGTGCTGAAACTCACCCTTTCCCCCGGGGATTCTCCACGTTGTTTTTTCTTGGACAACTCCACCTTGGAGTTCTCCCAACTCCCGTGAGTGGCTGTGCTGGAAAATTCTGCTTTTGTTGTTGTTTTGCCTGAGCCAAAAGCACAGAGAGGAGTCAGGACTGGGAGCTCCAGGCTCTGGTGCCTCTGGAGCAGGGGAGGACGTTGGACAAGGCTGTGAACTCTCAATGTTGGAAAATCATTCTGGGGAGCAGAAACCAGACAGTGTTTTTGTGAACTATCTTTGCAGCACTGAGGAAAAACTCCCAGGAGTTGGAGTTTTGGGAGCACAGATGTGCAGTCGGTGAACGAGGATTTGAAGTTTTACTGGTTTTAAAGAGGTTTTTTTCCTTCCTTTTTTTTGCTCCATTTCTCTAGTTTGTGGATCAGGTTTTCACTAAAAGCTGGAGAACCAGTTTCAAAATGTTGTTGTGCCATATTTTATTTATCCTTATGCGTTATAAATATATAAATATCTATTTAGACTGAATATTGCATTAAAAGATGCTGTTTTTGAGAAACTTCAGGGTTTAAACCCAAGACAAAAAAAAAATGGGAGATTCTTCTGCAGTACTTTTGCTGTTTGGGACCTTCTTCCTGAAGAGGCTCCCTAAGTTTTTTATGGTGTAAAAACAAAATCACACCCTGAAATTCCAAGCTGGGAGATGCTGACCCTGAAGTTCTCAGGTTTGTGGTCCTTTGGTTTTCTCAAGGTACATCTGGTTGCTTTTCTGGTGCAGTCAAATAATTTTTTAAAAGGTCTCATCTCTGGAGTTATTGAGGAACAGGTGGAATGGGTTGGTCCATCCTGCTTGGCTTTTTTAACCTATTAATCTTTGAAGTGATCGATTTTTTCCAATTAAAACCCAACTCTTTAGGTCTCTGTTCTACTTAAACTTTTTAGGAGTGAGAGCCTGCCCTCGCTGAGTGGGACTTGGATGGGGAAAGCAGTAGAGGATGAGGTTGCTGTTGCTCAGGAATTGATTAGTAAACTTTTAACTACTAATAAAAGTCCATTTCCCAATGGATTTTTTGAAAAACCCATTTTCTTAGGACAGTGATATGGGATGTTTCCTAGTGAATAGGAATTAGTTTATATAATTTAGCCTATTAAACTGAATTATTTAAAATTCAAACTTCCCCTAATTTATCTTTTTTTTGGATTTTTTTTAATTTTATTTTATTTTATTTTATACTGGTAAGTTGTCCTGTCATTCCTTTCATTCCTCCATAGAAATAGTGTGAATTCTGCTGTGTATATATGTATGTATAATATATATATTTCCACCCTGCCTTTCTAATTCTCCACAATGTAAGAGTTAGTTTTTGCTCCCCTCCCTCCACTTAATTTCTTGTGTCTCTCCCTTGATTTGTAATTGAAACAATGCTTTGAAGTTTTGTCTTTATATTAAAGTGTCTGTATTTTAATACACCGAGATCTTGTGGAGTTTCACTGGGTCAGAGGGGCCTGGAATTGGGGCCAGGAAATGGGATCTGGGGACCTGGTGGCATAGGAGGGACAGAGACCCCCTGACCTGGATTAGGGACCACCTTCAGCTCTGAGGGCCTGGGGGGGCCTGGGGGCAGTTCTGGGCCCCTCAGGACAAGAGGGACATGGAGGGGCTGGAGCGTGTGCAGGGAAGGGAACGGAGCTGGGAAGGGGCTGAGGGAGCTGGGGGGGCTCAGCCTGGAGAAAAGGAGGCTCAGGGGGGACCTTCTGGCTCTGCAACCCCCTGACAGGAGGGGGGAGTTGGGGGGGGGTCGGGCTCTGCTGCCAGGGAACAAGGGACAGGAGGAGAGGGAACGGCCTCAAGCTGTGCCAGGAGAGGTTTAGATTGGATATTAGGGAATATTTCTCCATGGAAAAGGTTGTAAAGCAGTGGCACAGGGCAGTGGTGGAGTCACCACCCCTGGGAGTGTTCAAACAGTGTGTGGATGTGGCCCTTGGGGACAGGGTCAGTGGTGGCCTCGGCAGTGCTGGGACAGTTGGCCTCGCTGAGGTCTTTCCAACCTAAATGATCCCGTGATTCCCAACCCCTCCCAGTGACATTCCCGTTTAGGCAGCAGTGTCATGACAGTGGGATAAACCCACCATCAGCCAGGGGAGTTAATTCACTGCACGATTCTTAAACCAAGGACCAGCCCTGGATTCCCACAGCCCTTCCCAGCTCTTGGCTCTCCTGGGCCTGACCCAGCTCATCCCAAACATGTTTGTCACCGGAGCTGCCCCTTGGCTCCACCACCAACCCTCAGCTGGACCAGGTGACCTTCAGAGGTCCCTTCCAACCCAAACTGTTCCATGAAGAATCCTCTCCAAATCCCATCGTGGAGCCACCCCCAGCTGGCTCCTGGAGAGGCACCTTTCCCCCATCCCTGCTCCTGCTCCAGGGGGAGGAGACCACCTGGACACCCCCTGGAGCTGCTGGTGCTCAGGTGAGAGCCCTGCAACCCCCCCTCCCTGCCAAGGCTCTGTGCCTTAGGACAGCTCTGAGCAGCACATGGATTAAACCAAGATTTATTGGCAACATACAACAGAGAAATGGCTCTGGGGAGCCTGGACCCAGCTCTGACTGAAATACAAAACTCCAAGTGTGAAAAACGAACAATTGTCTATAAATCACCAGCAGTTGATGCAGATTTTGATGTGTCTACAAGTACCATCTCCCCTTAATGCTGAACCCCAGCCCGTGAGCCAGCCCTGCCCCAGTGAGGGTCTGAGCTCCTGGGCCCTGGAACTCTTCACAGCATTTGTTTTACATTCAGTTAAGAAATGTCACTGGTGCCTCTTGAGCAAGTGTCGGGGTTTGCTCTTGTGCCCAGAACAGCACCTGAAATGCCCCTTTCCTGCACAGTGCCAGTGGGGAAGGGTTGCCCAGTCCTGCTCCAGGACCAGGACACAGCTCTGAGGGCTAAAAAGGCCCCAAGCTTGGCAGAATTCCCGAGGTTTGGGTTAAACTGCACATGGAAGGATCCACTGATGCAGAGCTGAGCCTGGATGTGGCTGTTCTGCCCCTGGGGCTGTGGGATGGAGCTGGGGGGGAGCCCATGCTCATCCCAGCTCCAGTTATCCCACTGCCAAGCAGGAATCCTCCCATCCATCCTCTCCCCAGTGACCAGACCAGTCTCTTTTCACAGTAAAAGCTGCCATGTCCCCCCCTCCAGGCCAGGGGTGCCCCTGCACTGAGGGAAAGCAGAGCTGGTGAGGATTAAAATGCACTTCAAAGCCATCTGAGGACACCAATTCCCTCCAGCACAAGCTCCTGTAGGTTCCTGCTTTTAATCCCTCCTTGCCTGCTTCCCCTGGAGCTGCCATCTGTCTGCAAATGCCCCCTGGCTCCTGCTCCCTGCCCTGGCTCCTCCTGCAGGACAGCTGCCCCTCAGCTCATTTTGGTGATTTTTGGAGCACCCAGATTGATTCAAGGGAAAGGGAAGATCTGGGGAAAGAAAAAGGGAAAAAATCCTGGCTTTCAGATTAAAAATAAAGCCTCAGTGACAGCTGTCACTGCCCTGGCACCCAGCAGTGAGAGGTAAAGAGGGAAGGCCAGGCCACTAAAGCTCTTCTTTGAGCATTTATTCCCAGCCAAGGACCCACAACTTCCCTTCAAGCCCAGCTCAGAGGCTGCTCCACCCACCCTGGAGGGGAACAACACCCAGAGCTGCAGCCCCCAAAGCTCAGGCCCCCTCCCTGTTCCTTCTGCCACCAACCCTCTGACAGTCTCACCTGAGACCCTCCCAGGGGCTTTTCCTGGGTTTTTCCCGGGCTGGTCCCAGGGGAGCTGCTGTGACAGTGAGGAATGTGGGTGTCCTGCAGCCCTGGGTGTGGAGAGTGTCCTTCCTCCCTCCCTCCCTCCCTCCTCTCTGAGCAGTTTTCCTTCCTGCAGCCCTGGCTGGTGGGGTGGGGATGTTGTTCCTAAACCCTTCTCTCCTCCTTCCCAGAGCCCCAGGGAGGCAGCCTTGGTTCCCTGGCAGCCCTGGCACAGTGTTTGGTCTGTCCCTTTGGATGCTCCCGAAGGGGGGAGAGGCTGCAGCCGTGGCTCAGGGCCTGGAGGGTTCCTGCCCAGCTGAACTCACCCCCTGCAGCCCAAACCTGCAGCCAGAGGGAGCAGCTCCTGCCTTTGCCAACCTCTCCATCTGCCTTTCCTCCCTGGGAAGCTGGATCAGAGCTCAGCCCACAGCTCTGCAGAGGGGCAGGAGCCCACAGGGATCCCTCCCCGTCCCTGTTCCTGACTGTTCCCTTTGTTCCCTCGGCTGGGCTGGAGTGAAGGCTCCCTCCAGCCCCCAGGAATCACAACACCTGCCCAGGGAAGGGAGAAGAAAACCCTCAAAGGCAAGTGCCAGTGGCTGCCCAGAGCTGCTGCCTTGGCACAGGGGAGCAGATGGCTCCTGCCTGGCAGCTGGAGCTGTGGCTGAGCATTCCCAGTGTTACTGGGAGCATTCCCAGTCCTCCCTGCTCACCAGCTCAGCCATCGGCCCCCAGAATGGCTCTGCAGGAGCAGGAGAGGGCAGGACAGGAGGGGGTTAACCCTGGAGCACAGAGATGTGATCACAGCATCCTCTTGCAGCCCCAAGGGCTCCCTGGAGATTGAGGGAAGATCCTGAGCCAGGAAAGCTGCAGCTCCTTCAGGAGAGGGACAGGGAGGAGCAGGAGAAGGGCTGGAGCTCCAGCAGCTCCAGGCCCTGGAGGACATTGGGTGCTGGGAGCTCTGTCAGCCCCTGCCTCTGCTGACCCCAGGGGCCAGAGGGTTCTGCTCCCACCCCAAGGGAGCAGTTCAGCCTCCACAGCTGGGAAAGTGGGAATGTACAAAGAATTCCCTTTAAAAAAAAAGAATAAAAAATGATTTAGGTAATAAATAAAAGAGTCCCTTGGTCCCTGTGGGGCTCTGCTGTCCTTCCCAGGGGTTGGGGTGGCCCTGGGGAGCCTGCTCAGGACTCAGGAGCCAGTTCAGCCCAGGTGAGGGAATTCCTGCTGGCGTTTTCCCAGCTGGAAACGGGCTTCCTCCGAGATCCCGTACTGCTCCAGGGGGTCCTGCAGGAGAGCACAGGGAGGCAGCAGTGAGAGGCAGATAAAGGGGTGCAGGAAGTCCAGCAGCCCCTGGGAGGACACAGGACACAGCAGGTGACCAGGGGCTGTGGGCACAGGGAGTCACCAGAGCAGGGATGCTCCGAGCGGCCTGGCAGGGTGGGAGCAGCATCTCCACCCACAGATCTGGCCAGGGCTGGGGGTGAACTTTCCAGAGACCTGCTGGGAGTCCAGGCAGGCCTGTCCAGCTCCAATCCTTGGCCCCCCAGCATGGCAGTGTGTGTGTCCGAGGGTCCGAGCGAGCACAGGAAGGTGCTCAGGTCCGGCTGTGGAGCCCACGGCTCCCCATGGAATCTGGGATCTCCTTCCAGATCAAACAGCCTGTGCAGGACTGGCAGCAACACCCACAGTCCCCAGCTCCTGTCCAAACCCATCAGTCACCACCTGACCCCGAGGGCCTCACTCACCTTCCCTGTCATCTTCTGGATCTCATTCCGGTAGAAGATCAGGCTCCTCCTCAGGAACTCGTAGCTGCAAGACAGGAGCAGACCCTGCTGAGCACGGGAGGATGTGGGCAAGTTTCAGATGCTATTTAGGGCTGGGGGAAGCTGGTTTGGGAGGAGACAAGCCCTGTGCTCCCGGGTTCCCCCCAGGCTGATCCCGGAGCTCCGATGGCTCTTCCCACCTGGCTCGTTTGAGGGCCTCGACCCACTCCTGGCACTGCTCCTCACTGGCACACTCGAAGCAGTATTTCCTCTCTGGCTCCTCGATGAAACCTGCCAGGAACAAGGAAAAGGCAGCCCGTGCTCCCCTGCCAGGCTCAATTAGCACCTCTGTTAATGAGGATGAGCTGGGAGCAAGTTGGGAACCCCAGCCCTGGACCCTCTCCTGTTCCCTCCCTGCTCTGGCTGCCCTGGAGCAGCTGCCTGGGACATTTGTCAGCTTCCAGCAGCCAAAGACCTCGGGAAGAGCAACTTCCCAAATGGGAGCAATTGAATTGAAGCAGATCTGGGACTGGAACTCCCTGAGGCTCCTTGGGAGGGATTTAAATCAAAGGGAAAAACAGCCCTGAGGAAGGGCCTGGGATGCAGGCACAGACCAGCCCCCAAGGATTTGAACTGCACTGGGAGAGGGCCCTGGGCTGCCTTTGCTGGAGGCTTTTGGGAATGTGGTGCCGTGCAAATCCCTGTGCAACTCCAGTCCTGTACAGGACAGAACCAGGAATCTCAGCAATCCCTGAGCCCAGAGCTCTGCCCTGCACAGACCCTCGGGGGTCAGGCTGCACCAAGAGTGACACAGCCCCAGCCCCACATGGCTGCTGGGGGGTTTAACCCTTCCCTCCCTCGGGAATCCTCCCCACAGACAGCCCCAAACCCCCAGACTCAGCAGGACTGGTGTGCTGGGGCTGCTCGGGGGCCCTGTGGGGCAGGGGGAGCACAGGAGGAGACACAGCTGTGCCCTGCAGCCAGGCCAAGAGATACAGGGACGGCCTTGGAGGAACATCCTGTTTTGTCAGCACGTGTGGGATGAAAGGCCCTCCCGGGGGACACAGATGCAGCTGGAGCCGCGGTATCGCCACAAGGACACGGACGGGGCAGGAGCAGGGGCTGGAGCAGCCCCTGGAGGCTTTATCTGAGCCCACTGGGGGGGTTGGACAAAAGGCAGCAGCACAGCAGAGATCTGTCATAGAACTCCCCCCAGGAGGGATTTCTGGCTGCTCTGCACGTGCAGCCGAGCAAAGCCCACACTGCTCCAGCCCTGGAGGATCCCTGGAGTGGCCCTGTGCTCAGAAGGGCATGTGGCACAGGGAGGAACAGCTGGCAGCTGAGGGATAGAACCATGGAATTGCTAAGGTTGGAAAAGATCTTTAAGATCATCAAGTCCAACCATCAACTCAGCACCACTGTGTGCACCACAGAACCACGTCCTCAGGTGCCACATTCACATGGGTTTTGGACACTTCCAGGGATGGAGGCTCCACCACTACCCTGGGCAGCCTGAACACCCTTTCCAGGAAGAAATTTTCCCTAATATTCCACCTAAACCTCCCCTGGCACAACTTGAGGCTGTTTCCTCTTGTTCCCTGGGAGAAGAGACCAAACCCCACTTGAGGGGCACTGACCCCACAGAGGAGGGGAAGGGTGAGGGGCACTGACCCCACAGAGGAGGGCAGGGCTGAGCTGACCCCACTGCCACCAGAGCAGCAGGAACTGAGCAGCAAAACCCCTCCTTTCCCTCTGCCCCAGGGGAAAGGCCCAGGGATGGTGCCCAGGCAGCACTCACTGATGGAGAAGACGTTCTCCTCCTCTTTGGTGATCCTGCAGTGCTCCAGCAGCAGAGCTCCAATGGGCTGGAAAACACATGGAGAGAGGGTTTAACCCACAGTGCCCCCAGCACTGAACCCACAGTGTCTCCCTGGAGCCTTTTAGGCAAGTTTGACACCCTGGTGCTACTCTGCAATGATTTGGTCTGACTGCAGGATGTTCCACAACCCTTTAATCACCTTTTTGTGCTGCTGCTGTGCCTCCCTCGCAGCACTTTGCTTGTGTTAATTAGGTGTTAATCACCTCCACCGGCTCAGAGTCAGCCTGGCCTTCACTGCTCATTTCTGGGGTGTGAAGGCAGCAAAGAACTTCCTTGCCCAGTAACTGAGACACAACTGAACTGTTCCTGAGACACACAGCAAGCCCCCCTGTGCCCGGGCAGGGCTGGAGGGGGATGTGGGGAGCTGGAACAGCTCCGGAGGGACACACAGACACTGGAGGGACACACAGACACCGTGCTGAGCAGGGACAGGGGGTGACATGGCCTGGAACAGGAGCAACCCCCTGGGAATTCTTGTCCAAGGGACACACCGTGAGAGATGCAAATCAGGAAGCAGGGAAGGGCCTGGAAACCTCCTTTACTGAGCATTCCATGGAACATTTGGGCTGGAAGGACCTCAGAGCCCATCCAGTCCCCCCCTGCCATGGGCAGGGACACCTCCCACCAGCCCAGGGTGCTCCTTTGATCCAGCCTGGCCTTGGACACTTCCAGGGATGGGGCAGCCACAGCTGCTCTGGGAATTCCATCCCAGCTCCTCCTCACCCTCACAGGGAAGAATTTCTTCCCAATATCCCTGTGTCAGTGGGAAGCCATTCCCTGTGTCCTGTCCCAGGTCCCTCCCCAGCTCTCCTGCAGCCCTGCTGAGCTGATGAAAAGGAAAGGTGGACACTGTCCCAGCACTGCTCTCCCAGCCCACACAACCAATCCACAGGAAAAAGAAGGAAGAGGGAGGGAAGCAAACCCCACCCAGGAGCACATTCCATACCTCAGCCTCGTCTGTCCTGAAGTAGAAGAGAAAGTTCACCACGAGCTTCACCAGGCGCTTCTTCAGCACTGCAAGGACAGTTCAATTAAAATAAAATAAAATAAAATAAAACAAAATAAAACAAAAATAGAAATAAAAACAAAAATAAAACAGAAATAGAAATAAAAATAAAATAAAAACAAATAAAGAATAAAAACAAAATAAAAATTAAAATTAAAAAATATATAAATAAAACCAAAATAAAAATAAAATAAAAATAAAAGTAAAATAAAAATAGAAAATTATAATATAAAATAAAAATTAGAAATAAGACTAGAAATAAAAATAAAATTACAATAAAATAAAATTAAAAATAAAATGAAAAATTAAAAATAAAAATAAAAATAAAAATAAAGAAAAAGGAAGTGCTGATGCAGCTGGGACAGAGAGGGGGCAGAGGGAAGCCCCTTCCAGCCCTGCCAGTGCCCAGCATGGCACAGATCCCATCAACCACTGGCACACCCTGCACCCACCCTGAGGCTGCTCCTGCAAACAGGAGCCTCAGGGTGACAAAGTCATGAGCAGCTTCTCCAGTGGCTCCAGGGCAGGCAGAGCCCACTGACACGGCCTGGGAGAGCTCCAAATCCCTGGGAGAGCTCCAAATCCCAGGGAGAGCTCCAAATCCCTGGGAGAGCTCCAAATCCCTGGGAGAGCTCCAAATCCCAGGAGCCCCAGCACAGATATCACCTCTGAGGGACAAACTCCAGCAGATCCTGGGGGAAGGAAGGCCCAGGACAAGGGAGGGTCTTCACACTCCAGTGCTGGCCTGAGAGGGAATTTGCTGGGAGACTTCAGGGAAGAGCCTCTCCAGGCCTCGCTGTCCCCAGTACATCCCATTGCTCCAGCCCAGCCCCAGAACCTCTCTCCAGTCCCACACTGGATCCCACCACCTGTGCTCTACAGCCCTCCCAGTAAGCCCCAGTGCTGCCCACCCAACACAGCCAGTCCTAACCCCACAGTTCCTGCCCAGTTCTCCCAGACCTTCACCCACTTTCCCAGCCTGGATTCTCCAGTACCCCCAGTCCTCCTGCCCAGGGCACCCAGTTCTCCCAGTCCCTCCTCACCCAGTACTCCAAGTGCTGTCCTGATTATCCAGTACCTCCAGTCCTGCACCCCCAGGCCACCCACTTCTCCCAGTCCCTCTCCTCCAGTCCAGCCCTGTCCCCCACAACCCCACAACTGAGGTGGTCTGGGGGGTCTTGAGGGGATCTGGGGAGGTTCTGATTCTCCAGTGGGGGATCCCCAGGTACCCCCAGTCCTGCCCCACCTCCACCTGCCTCCCCCTCCAATCCTGCCAGTTCTCCCAGTCCTACCCTGCTCCTACTGGCAGTTTCCCAGTCCGGATTCCCCAGTACCCTCAATCCTGCCTCTCCAGGGCACCCAGTTCTCCCAGTACCTCTCCACCCAGTGCTCCCAATCCTTCCCATGTCCAGCCTCCACTTTCCCAGCCCTAATCCTCCAGTGCCTCCAATCCTGCCCACCCAACATAGTCCTAACCCCAGTTCCTGCCCAGTTCTCCCAGTCCTGCCCTGCTCCTACTCCCAGTTTCCCAGTCCCGATTCTCCAGCACCCCCAAAGCGTCCAGTTCTCCCAGTTCCTCTCCAGCCCCATCCCTCAGCAACTCCAGCCCGGATTCTCCAGTTGGGGACCCCCACTCCTGCCCCCCTTTCACCTGCCCATCCCAATCCTGCCAGTTCTCCCAGTCCTGCCCTGGTCCTACCCCCAGTTTCCCACTTGTGATTCTCCAGTACCCCCAGTCCTGCCCACCCAGCACAGTCCAACCCCTCTCCCCACCCAGTGCTTCCCAGTCCTCCCAGTCCGTTCCCAGTCCCCCCAGTGCTGCCCACCCAACCCAGCCAGTCCTAACCCCAGTTCCTGCCCAGTTCTCCCAGTCCTGCCCTGCTCCTACTCCCAGTTTCCCTGTCCTGATTCCCCAGTACCCCCAATCCTGCCCACCCAACACAGTCAATCCTGTCCCCGCTCCCAGCTCTCCCAGTCCTGACCTGGTCATATCCCCACTTTCCCAGTCACAATTCTCCAATCCTCCCAGTCCTGCCCACCCAACACAGCCAATCCTAACTCCCCCTCCTCACTCCCAGTACTCTCTGTCCCGCCCTGACCCTAATCCCAGTTTCCCAGTCCATTCCCAATCCCCCCAGTCCTGCCCGCCCAACACAGCCACTCCTATCCCCCCTCCCCGTTCCCAGTTCCTGCCCTGCTCCTGCCCCCAGTTTCCCAGCCCGGATTCCCCAGTACCCCCAACATCTCCCAGCTCTCCCGGTCGCTCTCCACCCCCGATTCCGCAGCCGGGACCGCGCCGTCCCTCCCTCCGTCCCCGCTCACCGCTGCCTTTCTTGGGCACGCTCATGCGGATCTCGGCCGCCTTCTCCGCGGGCTGCCGGGCCAGGGACAGCAGCTCGCGCTCGTTGTAGCGCATGGCCGGAGCCCCCCGGCCCGCCGATCCCGCTGTTCCTTCCGAGCCCGGTGTTCCCGGTGTTCCCGCCGATCCCGCTGTTCCTTCCGATCCCGCTGATCCCG